AATTGTGTTTATTTAAACAAAAACTAATAAGGAAAAGTACTTTAAATAACAAACAACAAAGCATGAAAGAGCTAGACTTAAGCCTAATAAAAATTGCACCAGACAATTTTTGATGAGTTATAAAAATTTTGAAAGACATTTAATCTAAATGAATTAGAGCTATATTATGTTTATAGCTAAAAAGATAACATTATAAAACTACTCTTCCCCAAACTGATCCAGATATTAGCTATAACTCAATCTCAAATTCCAACAATTGTTTTGGATTTTTGTTAAAGAAGTTGACAAGCTGATTCTAAACTGAGGTGGAAAAGCAAGGGACCAGAATAGCAAGGAAACTATTGAAAATAAACAAGGCAGAGCCTTTTATCAGACATCAACACTTATTAGAAAGTAATAGTAAAAAAAAAAAAGATGGTGGTATATTAGAACTGAAAAAAGAAATAGACTAGTAAAACAGAATAGAGAGCCCACAAATAGACTCACACTTCTGTGAAATTCTTATATGTAGCACAGCTGTCATGACCAAGTAATGGAAAGGATAGGTCATCCTATGATGACATGATAATCACATAGATCATTGGTTATTCATATGGAAAATATTTAGAAATTAATCTCTACCTCACAGTACAAACACACACACACACACACACACACACACACACACACATACACTCCACACTCCAGACAGAATAAGGACTTAAGCATGTTTACCCATGAACAGCAAAGTTTAGAATCTTTTTTAAAATGTAGATAAATATCACTATTTAAAGTTTTTTTTCAAGGAAAGAGAATAAAATGTTAACTGTAAAAATAAAATAAAATAAAATGTTAACTTGAGATATCCCAAATATATGTAATAAGGAATTTCAGCGTGAGAGAGCTCAAAAATGACCTTTGTCTAAAAATTGAAGCAACCAGCTTTATATCAGCAAAATTTTGTTTGGATAAAAAATAACCATAAAACAGATGAAATCATATTAAGCCTAATGAAGGAAAAAAGATCAATACAGTAACACAAATATACAAAACTAAGGATGAAGATGAAAATAGAACAAATACAGAAGCATTTTCTTTTATTGTCATTACATGTACAAATCCAACCCAATATCAGTAGGCAACATGGGCACATCCAACCTACCAAATTGAATGACAAAGCAGAAAGTGTTCAAAGAATCCCCTCCCCCGAAAAAGGGAGAGGTCTAGTTTTACAAATGAGTTGCATTACACCAGTTGCATCTTCTACAATTACACAAGATATATATATATTCCTGAAATTTTTCTGTAATTCAGAATTTGTAAAATGCAACACTAGGCCAGGCATGATGACACAATGCCTCCCAGCACTCAGAGGAGACTGAGGCAGGAGAAATGCTGCAAATTCAAGGCCAGCCTGGGCTACATGAGTAAATTCAAGGTCATACTGAAGTACATGGTGAGATCCTGTCTCAAAAAGAGAAAAAGTAACACAATTTTCAAGAAAAAAATAATTAACCCTGTTAATCATATAAATCATAAATATAATTCACGTGACCACCATGTTTTTCCCATTTGTAATTTTACACATATTGGCTAACATATATTATTTGTTTTTAAATTTTTTACTAGTGCATGTTTGCAATACATTCATCATGAAGAGTTGGTACATATATATCCACTCTTTTTTTTTTCCTTTTTTTTTTCCACTCTTAATAATTTTTACTTTTCCTTTCCCTCCCCAATTCTGTTCCTAGATACCCTTCCCATCTGCTAATGATTTACCTCGTTTCCTATCATCTTTCTTTTGTTTTGCTCTTTAATTCATTTATACTTTGGATTTCTCAAATATGAGAAATCATGTGATATTTAACCTTCTGTATCTAATTTATTTCACTTAGAATTATGGTCTCAAGTTTCATCCATTTTCCTCCAAATGACTCAAGTTTATCCTTCCTTATGGTTGAATAGTACTTCAATATATATAGCACATTTTCTTTATCCATTCATCTGTTGATGGACATATATGCTATTTCCAAGAATTAGCTATTGTGAGCTGTGCTGTTTTAAACATAGATATGCATGTATCTCAGTAATATGATGTCTTTAACTCTTTGGAGAAAATATCCAGAAGGGGTATACCTGGTTAGAATGGAATTTCTATTTTTAGTTTTTTGAGGAATATCCATAGTGTGGCCACCACTTTTTAAATTACATGATTGTCAGTCATTTTTAAATTTAAGTTGATTCATATTATTATGCATTTGGTTTATCATGTCATTTCCAACTTGTACAGTAAAATTCAAAAGAGTGGCTCTAGTTAAAAAACAATAATTCTCATGCCATAAAGACTTAAAAAGCACAGACAGTAGGAGTACACATGAAAAGGTGTACTTTAAGGAACTGGTAAACCCTGGTATCAAAGCCTTACAATGACAAACTAAAAATAATATTAATAATATTAATATAGATGCAAAAATTAATGTAAGCTCTGCTTACAAAGTTCCCCTTTACCAGGATGAACAGATACTACACTCTGTCTGCCAACAACCCGACTAAGGTCCAGAGCCAGGGGAAGGTCTGAGGCTACTCTGGAAAGCAGCTTTCAGCACGTGCGCTGCTTATTTACCAACCGCCAAACCTGGTTCTGCCACATGTACTCAAGATAATTGATAAATGTTACAAAAACATAAAATTTGAACTTAATGCCCTTGAATTTTTTTTAAAAAAATTTAAGTACAAGTGAGAAAGCATAAAGGGTGTAGGAAGGATCTTAAACTTTAAAAGATATTCTTTAAAAGATATTCCTTTAAAAGATATTTAAAAGATATTTTTTAAAGACTTTAAAAGGTATTCCACTCAGATATTCTTGCAAATATCATTAACTTCTCATCAAAACTTAAAGTTAAAAATCATAGATAATTCATCCTGAATGTGGTTTATAACAAAAGGATGACATGACACTCGATTCAGCACACTGAAATTCAAAGCAGAGGGCTCAGCACACATCTAATGACTATAAATGATACATGGATATAGTTAAAACTAAAATGCTTATGGCACGTAAATGAGTACCTGAATAATTGATTTTCTTTTCAATTAGCCAACCAATTACCTGTTTGATAGCATTGGACAGGAGAGAGTCAGTCTTAGAAAATTGTAACACTATGACTAATTACTAATTTGGGTTTATCCCAAGAATATAGGAAAATTATATGTTATAATAACAAGGCAATGAAAAAAAAATGATCATCTTGATAAATACCAAATGATATCTGATAAAATTAAACTCCCATCCTGTTATCTATTTTGAAGCTATTAATAAATTAACAATAAAGTACACAACTTTGACAAAATCAAGAAAGCCTAACTAAAACAACCCATCATTATTATAATTAATGGTAGAGGTATTCTCATTAATCAGTGACCAAATAATCCTGATCACCAACATTTCCATCACTAAATATTACTTTAAAAAAACAGGCATAAGATATAGCTATTAGCAAAAAAGTTACATTTATCATTATTTGAAGAAAACAATCATACCCACCTGGAAAACCCAACAAAATCAACTAACAACTGTCAGAACTGATACTAGAGCTTAATAGTCAGTTTCAAGATAAATATACAAAAAAAACTGTTTTCTTATGTTAGTCATAGTCAAAAATCATAAGAAAAAAAGCTATTCCACTAAGAATAGCAATAAAAGCTATAAAATTCTTAGGAATAAGTTTTAATGAGAAATGGCTATAGAAAGCAAACTAAAAAAAACTCCTGTAAAAGAGGACAGTGATAAGAATTAACAAATTAAATTACAAATTAATAATACAGAGTAGTTAATACTTTATGGATGTCAGATGTCCATATGACATGCAACCATATTTTTATAAAGAATATAAAAAATATAGAAAGGTATTCATATTATACCTTTAAATTTAAAAGTACTATATGCAGATCAAAGTAAAATATGATTTTAATTTTGTTTTAAGAAGTATGCACATGGCCAGGTGTGGTGGCACACATCTGTAATCCCAGCACTTGGGAGGCTGAGGCAGGAAGATTGCTGTGACTTCAAGGCCAGTGTGGGCTACATAATGAGTTCAAGGCCAGCCTGAACTACATAGCAAGACCCTGTCTCAAAATAAACAAAACAAAACAAAAAAGTATGCAAATGAACATAAAAGGTATCTAAAAATATAGGCTCATCAAAATCTTAACAGCGCTCATCTTCAACTAATAGGAGCACAGGTGGTTTTAACTCTCTGCCTTACACTTCATTTTTCCTGTTTCTTCTATAAATCAGAGAACCATGAAAATAGGTATTGCCTCTTCCTGGAAACTCATAAGACACTCAATACAGCATTGCTTGCCCTTGACACCATGAATGGAATTTAACCCACTACTTTTTGGCAATTTTTATCTCTTATGCCTCTTCCAGCAGGTCAGGGTTCCACTTGGCCCAAGTGTGAGGCTTTGTGCAGGCATGCGAAAGACTCACACCAAAGTCATCTTACTGCAAGGACCTACACCCAGAAAGATGAACTAGAGGAAATCAGCTGAAGCAGGCACAAATGAACCCTGCTGGGGCCAGCAGCTACTGACCGCTAGCCAAGCAGACCTCTCAGAACCTGCCAGGATCAGCTAGGGTTCCTCAGTGACACATCTGGAGCACAGAAAGTCAGCCTGCCACAGAGGCTTCTCGTCGCCTGTGTCCACATAGGGACAGCCTCCTCTGCTTCCACTGGCCCATGCAGCTCCACTCAACCCTGGACCTCACACTGGTAAACATGAATGAAACAAACTCTAGAAGCACCAGGAGATGACAGGAGGACATCAGTAGCTCAGGCTCTACCTCATAGCTTTCACCCCACCCTTCCATTACTGTACAGAGCAGAGACAGGTGACTGCTTTCTGCTGGGCTCAAGAAATCCCTCCTTTCTTCCCTCTCCTCTGCTTCCCTCCTAACTCCCACCCCCAGTCCCCAAGGGAAACCAAGGACCCACAAATAGGTAAACAATACATACATGAGGACTGGATGGAGAAGACGCCATGTTAGTGGGGCCCAAGCTTGACAGACCATCGGCAAGCTACAAATTAAACATGCTGGTTAGCGACAGGATTAGAGGATTCACTTTGGAGAAGGCTGGATAACCCCATGGGAGTAGTGTTCTCCCTCCATCCAGGCACCCTCTGCTCTTTCTCCAGCACAATAACATGTGCTTCTGAGTTAGACAAGCCTGACTCCATGCTTCCACAGGCTGTGTGACCTTAGGCAAACACTCTGACCTCTCTGAACCAATGTCCCCATCAAGAGAAGGTACACAGAGCCCACCTCACAGAGTAACAATAGGTATAAATGAAATGAAAGCTATGAATGCCCTCTTTAGGTGAGGCTTGCTTCTCAAAGAGGCTCTGCTTTCTCGCTGCCCTGGGCAGTCAATTCAGCCACTTCTCATGTGCCTTCCCTGCCTTTTCAGAGTCAGTTTGTATCAGGGACATGCCAACTTCCTATCATGGAGGGTAGGGTGAGTCTGAACGCTAAGTCCCCCATCCCTGCAAGCATGGTTCCTAAGTAAGCATAGCTTTCTCAGCCTTCTCTCTTCAAGAACCAGGCCACCACATAGTTCTCCCAAAACCCTACATCAGGGAGACTTTGAAGAGTCTTATAGTCCAACCCTGCCACATCTATGCATCAAATCCTCACTTTCTGTCTTCACTACTGTAACTCTGGGATTTACAGGGCACTCATTCCTGGGCTGCTGGGCCAAGGTGGCCTCAGGGCTTAGGACTGGAGGTGGGGAGACTTCAGAGGTCACTGCAATCCTCCAGGAGAAGGTGATGGAGCCCTGGCAGGTGGACGGGACATGGAGGAAATGCACACTGGACAGAGTGACTGGCAATGATGAAGAAGAAGGAAGCACAGCACATGTGAGGCAGCAAATGATCCCAAGAGACAGGCACTGTCCCAAGAAAGGAGCAAAAGGAGGTGAGGTGGAGAGGTGAGAGTCCTGAGGGGACCCAGAGCTGCCAGGGCTAAACTCTCTTCCTTTGGGAGACCCTCTCCAGAAGATCAGGAAGGGAGCGGAGAGGAGCCCCTTTGGGGACCTGAGAGAGCCCTTCCTGCTCTGTGATGGGACCATTACTGAGTGGGGCATCAGGGGCAGAAGCCTGGGCAGGAGGGCAGTGGCACCCAGCCAGTGCCTCAGGCCATATGCTGCTGGGAGTGGTGTGAGCCCTGGAATAGACTGGATGAACTCCATGTGCACCCCCAGTTGGACAGACTGGCCCTGCTCCTCCCATTCTCATCCTGAACCCCACAGAAGCTCTATTGTTATTTTTAATATAGTTCTTTTTATAAAGGTGAGAGGGAAACAGGCAGTTTACCAGAGCAACAAGGAGAGAAAATAAAGCTAAACATAGTGCTCCAAAGATCTGGTCCAGCTTCAGAAATTACACGTTCTCCTTCGGGGATGTGGGCATAATTTCCTGCTCCAATTCTGGGAGAGTGTTTCCATCTTCATGGTGTCCCAGAGACTATAACTAGAGCAGCAAGCTCCAAATTAGCCCGAGCCTGGGGCTTTAGAGCAGGTCAGCTCCAGCACCTCAGCCCATGGTTCGGGAAGCTGGTCAGTGCTGCCTTCTGATGCCTCCTCCACTCTAGCCTGCCAGGCCTGTCTTCCTGTTGTCCCCCACAGGAACCACACACACACACACACACACACACACACACACACACACACACAACTACTTCTAAGCCTTTGGCCAAGCTCTTCTACCTACCAGCCAAGCCCCCTGTCTCTCTGTTCTAAGCCCACTCAGCTTCTTGGAAGAGCTTCTCTAAATACTGAGGCTCATTCCTCAGGGCCAGGAGAGTCACAAATGTTGGGGTCCTTGTAAATAAAGTATCTCATCCCTGTGGCATTTCTTGGCTGAGATCTGCTAGACTCTTCTCACCTCCATGGTCAAACTTCCCAAGTTCTCTCTCTGTGTTCCCACCCCAGCTCTGCTCCTTCTCTGGAGACTTAAAGAAGAAATCATTATCCTGGGGCTCTCTGAATGCTAGACTAGAATCACTCTGACACACCAAGCTGGCTCAGGCTCCTCAGTGCCTGGAAACTGGGCTCTGAGAAGGTACAGGGCCACCATCTCTACTTTCAGCTTCAAGACCCTGTAGAGAAAATGGGTTGCCTGAATACTGTTTTTAATCCCATCTTCATAACTGTTACACCAAGAACTAGTTTAATAAAACAAACAGGTTAGTAAAAAAAAAAAAAAAAGGCCCCAATTTTGTTTTAAAGGTAGAAATGGAGTCAGAATCAGAGACAGATTCAAGGACAGAAGGAGAAACCTGGAGGAGGAAAAAAGAGGATGAAGAATGATATGTTGATAGCAATTCATGCAGTTAGAGGTAATGCCTACATTTCATTATTTTTTTATATTTTCCAAATTATTTGAAACAGTTTTATACCAGAGTAAAATGAATGTATCCAATTTTTAAAGCCGAGAACCAGATGAAATAAAGTACCTCTATTCTCCCTTTCTAAGGATACCTCCAGGCCTGCCCTTCCTCACAAAGTTTAAAGTTTTTGTTTCTTTGTTTGTTTCTTTGGGGTTTTTTGGTACCAGGGATCGAACTCGGGTCCTTGTGCTTGCAGGGCAGGCGGCGGAACCACCGAGCTAAATCTCCAGCCCCTCAAAGTTAAAAGTTAAGGCAATGATTCCTGCAAGGCCACCTCCAAGCCTAGACAGCCTCTGGGCACACTTGGCACACTCATGTGTATACCACACACACAACACAACACAGACGCACCACCCTCAGACTATGAATCTGAAGCCTACACAGAGGACAGACATGGGGAACCACAACAATGGCTGGAGTTAATATGCAGGAGTGGCTCCCATCCCAGACCTCATCACCTCAGAAAACTGTTCAGAGAACCCAGGCTCCACCCACAAGGGGTCTTCTCAGCCCCAGACACAGGCACTAACCAATGAGCCCCAGAGGGGCTGCTTTGTACATATACTCAGAATCACCTTCAAAACTGACACTCTTGACACAAAGACACTCCTAGAAAGCTAAGAACTGCTGTGAGTGCCAGCCATGGCAGGAGAATCAAGAGTCTTGGGTGACATCCTCTATGTGACAGTGAGAAGGCTTCCTGAACAGAGAGACCGTGTAAGCAAGGGAAATGATAGAAGGTGGAATCTGGCAAAAGTAGGGGTGAGCTGGGCAGGGGGAGGAGGGTGCCTAGGCTGTAAACACAGCCAGGACTCAGTGGGCAACTAGAAAGAAGCATCAAATATAGAAAAGAAACAGGCTGCTGAGAAACACAGGTTGGGCAAACAGGAGCCAGGCAAAATTTGAATTCTACCAGATCTCTTATCTTCTGGTCCCCAGAGGTCAGAGCCTTTCATTCTATCTGCATTTGAGGGGTGGAGAGAGGAACAGAGTCCAGCTGAAGTTATCTGACAAATTACTGAAACTTGAGCTCACTGCCTCCCAGGTCAGCCTCAGGGTACCTGGTCCTTCAAAGTGCCAGGGGCTGGAGAAACAAGGAGTTAAGAGACAAACAGACAAAGATTTCCTGGGTCCTCCAAATCAGATCAATAGATCTCAGAGAGAAACCCAATACAAAATCAGCTACCAGACTAGAGGACCTCCCCAGAGAGCCAGGGCTCCCTGGAGACCAGGATTGGTCTCTCTGCTGGCTTGGTACTCCTTAAGAATAGGGCTATGTCTCCTCCCTCAGTCAGATTTCTCAGTAAGGGCAGGGTCCAAGCCTCCTCCCTCAGGGCAGGCTGGTCTTGCTTTCCCTTCTTCCTGCCCACCCCCCAGTCCAAGTGCAGCTAGCCCTCCCCCTGTGGCACTCACCCAAGAGCCCAGATGCCCACCCTTACAACTGGCCATCCACTCTAGCAGGAATGGTTGAGTATTCCCATAAAGAGCATAGGCCTGGCTCTGGCTCAGACCCCGGCCCCAGTTCCCTCATGTCAACACTGGGAGGATGGCCAGGCTAGGCCTCCTCTTTGTCTGCCTCTGGCTGTGCATGTAGCCAGCAGGACCCAAAATAATCCCTCCCTATCTGAATTTGTAGACTTTTTGAGGGCAGCACACACAGAACAGAAATCCTGCTGGGCAGGCCCTGCACTTCTCTCACAGTCTCAGACAGGCCCACTGGGGGGTGAAGAACAGGAGCCAGAATCAGGCAGTCCAGGGTTTAGGGCAAATTATCTGCCTAATTCATCTATAAACACCCAACCAGGCTACTAGGTATGACGATAGAAGTTAAACTAGATATCATGTAGAGCTATCTGAAATTTCCATTTAGGTTTCCCGGCCAGGAGGGGTTTCTCTTCAGATCTATACAGACATGGATCTATCCACTCATCTACCTACCCACATATACACCCATCCATACACCCATCTCCCCATCAATTCGTCCATCTACCCATCCATCTTATCCATCTATCCATCCATCCATTCACCCATGTACCCACCCATCCATGTATCCACACATCCACCCATCCACCCATTTGCCTATGTGCCTATTCAGACAGACTTTCTCTGAACTCCTCTCTGTGCTGAGCACTAAGAATTTAAAGAGGAAGGTGCTCCAGTCATTATCCTAAGGTTAGTCCAGGGAAGATGCTGACAGACACAGCGACACACAGGACCAAGGCAAGCTAGTGACCAAGACCTTGTTGTAGAAGGGAAAGAGCTAGGGAGGAGTCCTCAAAAGAAGTGACTACACCTAGGTTGAGTCTTAAAGAAGACCAGGAGTTGAGCAGAGGAGCAGGGGCAAAGGTTTCTGCAGCACAAGGGCTGGGGTGGGTAGGGTACAGAGCCCTGGACAGCCCCAGAGGCTGGGAAGACGGGGAGTTCAGGGCTTCTGATGTCTTCATCAGTGACAAACCAATGAGCCCCAGAGGGGCTGCTTTGTACATACACTTAGAATCACCTTCAAAACTGACATTCTTGACACAAACCAAGAAGAGAGAGTGGGAAGGAAGCAGCAATCACTCCTAAATGTTAGTGGAATGCTCACCCCAGCACTCAATTTTGTTCTCTCACTCTCAAAGTTAAGATGTTTGATGACTTAAAGAACACACACTCCTCCTGAAGTGCACCCCCTCCTGAGCTTGCAACACAAGAGCTGTCTTTACAGGCTTTGAGGCTCTGCCTCCAGACAGCTCAGAAGCTCAGAAGCTCTGAGAACCCCAGGGTCGCACCAGGGACCATGACCCAGGGGTGTCATGCAATGTGTGGTTAGTAACACGCAAAGCCCTGAGAGGAAGGTGACAACCTGAACAGACAGCAAGTTCAAGGCTGGTGCTCATGGTAGGTGCCTTTCTCCATCTCTACTGCAGTAAACCACTCAGTAGTCTCAGACTTTTAGGATCCAGAGCTCCTCCAGGGCTGAAGATGGTGAGAGTGCTCCCCTTGGGTGAAAGATGCCACAGACCTACTGTCATGTCATTTAGCATTGTACCTAGATCACCAGTAGGCACAGGTTGCTGAGTATATAGCAAAAGGATGACAATTACGACCTCCTGTCCAAGGGTTGGAAACCATTAGTATAATGTCCCTCTCCCGTCCTTTACCTGGAGTGGGGGAATAGGAAAAGAAGCATTATTGCCTTGGACACAGTTTCCTTTTTCTTAACTGTCTCCAAGGGGCCAGCCAGCACAAGCTCATAGAAGAATCCTTCCCCTAACAAGGGTCCTGTCCAGGGGAGAAGAGGGAGGCTGGAGTCCCCAAGGCTACCCAGCACTTCCTCACCTGTCTCCCTTCTCTTTCACTTGCTCCCCAACCCTGGCTTACTAAGTGATCCCCAAGGGAAAACCCTCAACATAGCCCCCAAAGTAGGGGTTCATTTTTTTCACTTGCTTCCAGGAAAAGGATTGGGTCTTGCCCTGAAGACCATATATCCCTTCAAACAGAAAGAAAGCCCCTATTTAGGTCCCTCCATCATGTAGTCCCAGCTAGCAGGATGTGGGCTGCATGGCAATAAAAGTTGGGGAGAAGGAGTGAAAATACAGGAGGAACCAAGGGAGAAGGGAAAATCAAAGCCAGCTCCTTGGGTGAGCTGGTCTCTCTCCCATGGGACCAGTGCCCTTCCTACCTGGACAGGGATGAGGGGCTCCTTGTCATCAATGTCGATAAGCACGTCTTCCCCAGGACTGAGTAAGCTCATATCATCTGCAAGAACACCCACATCCAGGTGGTAAGGGCTCAGGGTCCTGTGACAGGACTCCTCAGCCTCTGCACCTCACAGTGTCTTCCTCTCCTCCTACCCCATCCTTCCCTCTCCCTGTTCTCTTTCTTACTCTCCTCAACTTTCTTGTTTCTGTGTGCAGTTACTTCCCTCCCTCTCAACTCTTCCTGTAACTGTCCCTCATTTGAGCCATCATTCCTCAGCTCTTCAGGTATGGGTCACCTTATCCAGGTGTGCCCAGCTTGAGAAAAGGAAGCTCCCAGCCTAGCTGAGCAGAAGCCACTTCTCACTCAGGCCCCAGGAGAAATGCATGCATCTCAGCTGGAAGTGTGCTTTCCCCTGAGGCCCTGCCCTGGCCTTCCCTCTACCTGGTCCACCCTGTGGGGACGGACTCTCCAATGTGTAGGGATCACAGAAGAAGCTCTCCAGGGAGCGGATGGTGCACTGGCCCACCACAGGCCTGCGGCCAAACTGGCGGTTATCGATGACCTTGACCACGATGGGGGGACAGTAGAGTTCCTCCCTGGGCAGCATCTGGGTGGAGGAGAAAGGAAGCTCTGGGCACCAGCCTAGGCCCATCTCTGGGAAGTCCCAAGGGAGGGAGGCCCTGCACAGGTAGGCCCAAGGAGCACAAAATGACTTAACCCACAGACAATCCACAACAGCTAGAAATCCAAAATGGCAGGGCACAGGAGCAGGCCACTGGGGTGGAAGCCACACACCTTTCTGTCTGCCTCTTCACTGCTATATATGGAGGCTGGTTCCTCCCTTAGGCTTTACCCTCCAAGCACAGCTGGCTCAGCCTGAGGGGAAAGCAGAGTCTACTTTCCCTGAACCCTCACTGGCTGGGGAGGGAGAGGGGAGTTGGCCCAGGACTCAACATTTCTTGCAGACAGTCCCCCCCAAGTGGATACTCAAGAGTTGGCTTGCAGACACAGATTCCTCTCCCCTCACCCCAAAAGCACTTTGGACACAACTTGAAATAATTTATATGCTCTCCTTCAGTGGCAGCTTTTGCTCAGCCAAGAGGAGGCTCCTGTTGACAGCCACTGGGCCTGGGATTTCTATAGTGCTTTCATCTTGCAAACCATTTTCCTTTCCTCAGACTTGCCTTACACTGGCCACTAGCTGGAGAGAGGGAGCTGGAGAGAGCTGGGGGACCTGAGGGCTGAGGGCTGAGGGCTGAGGGCGTGAGCTCCTGAGGACGACAGCTGGGGCAGGATGAGGTCAGGGGAGGCCGGGAGGAGGCACTGAAGGTGAACCCTGTGGGTCCCTGAGGGGAGCTAGGAAGTTGAAATCTGTCCTGGAAGATAAGCCAGCCTCAGAGGGGCTCTTGGAGCCTTCTGGTGACCCAGAACTGAAAGGGGAGGGCAAGCCAGCTCTGCTTGTGCTACACAAAGGACTAAAGGCTTCCAGGGAGGAGAGACCATGTGTTTTTCTCCTATCTTCACAGGAAAGTGAGGGGAAAGCTGCCCAGGATCCCTCAGGGAATTAGAGCGCTACCTTCAGGCTGCCAGGGCACACTAGACCCCAGGACTCTGGAAGAGGACAACAGAGAGATGGGGCTCACCACTTCCATGAAAAGTGTGCAAACATCAAAATTGGGGTTCTTCCGGAGGTTCCTGATGACGCAGGACTGCACCATCTGGCCCCCGCACTCCACTATGAGGCTGGGAGAGGAGATGCTGGCCAGCTGGTAACTCTTCATGTTCCGAAGGCCCCACGCCAGGATCTGGGGACACAGGGTGAGGAAAGCAACTGAGAAGGTTCCAGGCCCTGGAGAAGGCTGGGGCTAGGAAGAGAAAGAATTCATGTGTCTCGCAGCCCCAGCCCTGCCCCAGCCAGGCTCACCTCAATGGCAGTGCGCTGGAGAGCTGGCTTGATGTTCTGGGGAACCATGTAGATGTTGGCCTCCTTCTGGGGTGGCGGGTAGGGCAGGTCTGTGTCCTCTGACTGCAGGGGACAGCAAGTGGAACACAGACAAAGGTGGGAGGAAGAAGACCAGCCAAAGAGATGAGAGACAGAAGAGACAGGAAGAAATGACATGCAGCAAGAGACAGAGAAACAGAGGCAAACACCCAGAGTGGGCAAAGGGGCAGGCAGAAGTGACAGAGCCTCATCAACTTTTGCCAGGCCCCATCTTTTCCAAGGTCACAACTCAACCCCCTTCATCCAGGGTTGAGTCACCCATCTCTCACAGTGCAGGTTCTGGGGCACCAACTGCCTCCCCCTCCGGACATACATGCACACACATGCACTCACACCCTCAAATATGCCTGCACAAAGATGCCCACTTCATCCGGCCACACCCACTTCCACCCAAAGGACCATATGCCCTCCCTCTAGCCAGGTTCACCCACCCCCTGGCTCAGACCCAACTGGATTCCCATCCCCCCACGGCTATACCCAGATATCTCTCAGCCCCAAGCCCCACCTCTCACACCTGTCCCCTGTGAGAACAGTGTGTGCATGTAAGCCAGAAAGAACAGAGAAAATGACAAATGAGAGAAGGGACATGTGTCCATTGTCCCCAGAGCACCAAAGTATGCCCCTGGGGAGGCTCCATCATCACCACAGACAGAAATAACAAGGCACTGCCACCTCTGGCCTGCTAAAGGTCTGCCAGGAAGGCTTGAGCAAGAAACCCCAGTGAACAAGAACTATGGGGAGCAAGAGAAGCAAGGGAAGAAGATTAGTTAACTCCAATAGCTGTGGTGAGAAGCCCAGGCTCTGGGTGTAAATCCTAGCTCCACACTGATGAAGCCAAGTAGTTACTTTATATGTCTGTAGCCCAATTTTTTTAATTTATAAAATGATTATAAAAGTTATCAACCTTTAATGGTTAGTGAGTGTTGAAGCTAACACCTATGCATTTAGAAGTATCTGGAACACATAACTCTTACTAGTACTACTAGTGACACCTTTGTGACAATTAGAGTAAGATGTCCTTTTCTTAAGACTCTTTAGAAAATTATATTTTATGTTTATTAGGATAAGACACTTTACTGCCACCTACTGGAAAAATTTTACAGTAAATACAAATATATGGTTGTCTGCTAGAAATTGCACCTCCTTAGACTCAGCCCCCTAAAGCAGTGCTCAACCTGCACATCCACACAAGGAGGCCCTGACATTCAGGAAACGTTAACTATGGTTTGAATGGATGTGTTGCACACTTTACAGAGCTGGACTCAAGTAACCTCATTTAACAAACAATGGAATCACTGGATTCATTGCCCTAGTGACTTGGCAGGTACATGCATCTACAGATGCTCTGACAAAGATGGTGGAGGAGCTGGAGCAGAGTAATATACCAGCTTTCTCCCATCCCCATGAAACTTCACAGCTAACCTGAGCCATCTCTCCTGTCCAATGCCACCACACTTCTGTGACCTATAGCAGTATATTCTAGTGACTGGGTTCTAGAAACCCAGTCACTAGGACACAAAGTAGGAACGTGTCATTTCCCTCAGACCTGCCTGTGGTGACGATCTGTGGGAAGCTCCTACTCCCTTGACTAGCTGAGGAGGGACATGTCTGGGGTACCAGGGTGCACAACTCCAGGGGGTGCTATGCACATCATATGAAAGGTGCCTGCACAGCCACTGCAGCAAGCTGCCCACTAAGGGGATCCCTAGTTTGATGTCCACCATGGTGATAAGCAGAGGCAGCCTCTCAAAGGATGAGCTGTGCTTCCAGGCCCACTTGTGGCCTGCTCATGGCCTCTCATGGCTGATCTCCAGCCCACAGCAGGGCTGAGGCCAAAAGCCCAAGAGAGAAAAGGGGAAAACCAGGGCTAAGCAAGCTCTGTAAGCCTCTAAAAGGGGAGGCAGGAGGAATGATCTCTCTCACATGGATGCAACTTCCTGTTAAAATCACCAAGGAAAACTCAATACACTTCCCCTGCACCGTGTCCTCTCCAGGCCCCACACTCTGGTCTGGATCCTTTTTTGCCCTCATTTCCATGGTCCATCTTTCCTTCCAGGTTCCCTCAAGCTTCATGGTGCTGATGTCCTCGCTGTACACTGAAGACCAGGCTCCCCCTGGCCTTGACCCTGCTCACTGTGGAGGACAGGAACAAACATTTCAAGCAAACTAAGCATTGGTACCGTTTGGAGAAGGCCCTGGAAGAAGGCAGGAGCACACAGCTGTGGAGAGCCAGGCCCAGCAGAGGCAGAGGAAGAGAAGCAGAGGCAGAGGTTAGAGATGTGTCCAGGGGCAGCTTCCTTAGCTTGAGGCCACTACACTCATCCCATGGCCATTTCTGCCCAAATTGCAGTTACCAGGGATCCCAGGATATTCTTGTCCCAGGATATTCTTGTCCCAGGATATTTGTTGCCACCTCCTTGGGATCACGATCTCTGTATCCCCCTCCACCCAGGCTGCAAGCTGTCACCACAAACCTCCATCCCCCAATGTCATGCACAGCACACTGCCTCTCTCAGTGGAACTCTGCTGCAGACCCACTCCCGAATGCTCTCTGGCTCCCTGAACCCTGTCTCATCTGGTCCTCCCTAATTCTTCACTCTATCTCCTGGGTCTTTGAGCTTTGGAGCTCACTGGTCCCTCTTTCTGGAAGGTACTTCACTTGGCTGCCTCCTGCTTGGACTTCAGATGACCATTTAAATCTTCCCTGGTGTGCTGAGCTTCATTTTAAGCACCCGCATGGCTCCCATAGTCACTTTCACTTAGTCCCATTGAAACCCATATTTACCACCCTGTGCCATCTCTGTGTTCATTTGACTGGTTAAGCCAGCACTTTTGTACACTGGGATAAGTTATATCCCCCATCTTATAAACAATTGATAACGAATGGATAACTGAAGCAAAGGAGGGAGACCAGGAGGATGGAAGAATGGGTAAAGGGGTAGATAAATAAAAGCAAGATGGGAGGAAACAGGGAGGTAGATTTTGTGAAAATGGGAAGGTTTCTAGGATAGGGGCAAGAGAGACAGTGTGGTGGGGCTTAAAAGTTATCAAGATACCATATGTATACACACCAGCTCCCCAAGTATCACAAACATAAATAACAAAAGTATTTTTTAAAAGAAAGAAACTATGCCCAAGTCCAAATCCTGCCACTTCTGAGACCTAGTCTTGTGGAGATTTTCTCCCTTCAAGAGTTACTTACAGGTGGACCCAACAGTGTGGACAGATAGACACACAGTGGGGGAAGGCCCTGAAGGCCACTTCTGTCCTCATCCACCCTAAAGATCCCAGGCACTTCCCTCAACAAAAGTAGTACCCGATCTGTCTGGAGGTTAGAGAAGGACTAAAACCCAGCATTCAGGGATTGCTGCAGCAGGGACTCCTCAGGGAAATTATCGCTACATGGCTCACCCCAGCCTGGACCACTGGTTGCCATTCTTCTGCTGTACGTGTTTGGACCCTGTCTTCTTAATTGTCTCTCTCATTTTATCTCAAACCACATTAATGCCATCAAAATACAGATGGTCTTTCAGATGGAGCTGCCCATGGAGCTTCCTCCCAACTTCTACCAGGGACCACAGGACCGACCTCTGAGAGATCATCCCCTGCCCCTACATCACCCCCTCTCAACCTGAAGTAGCCAGAGCAGTCGTTGCCCCTACTCCCACAGCAGTGGGATGGTCCCCTCAGAGGGGGAAATGTAGGGATAGGACCCCAATAGACAGGAATGATGTAGGGACAGGCCTCTTAAGAATGAGAGGAAGTTAACTTAGACTCTCTGTGGTTATCATGTAGGCCAGATATTCTCAGAGATTAGCTAAGTTCCTCTTTGTACAAACTGTTCCCAAAAGGGCAGGCAAAAATAAGACTTTTCACATCCCCTCCTAAGACTTTCATTATAGACTCCTAGCAATGAGCTGATACCTAATCAGAAATGGCCACCTGGGAGGGATGAGATAGACCCCAGTTCCCCATTACTCCATACAACAGAACCACTGCCCCATACTCAGTGGTCACTCAGCTCTGGGGACCCCACTCCTCAGAGTGGCTTTGTACTGCTTTCTTCTGCAAATAAGTTTACTTTCACTTTGCACTCCTCTTTGAGTAAACTCCTTTGAACTCCTCTTCCTCTTTCTACAGTGGAGAAAGAGACCAGCCTTGGAAAGCCAAGGATGGGCTGAAGACAGCCTTGCATGGTCCTACACCAATATACACTGTCTTTCCAGTCTGCCCTACCAGGCTGTTAATAAAGGGGCCAGTCCTTTGGGATCCCCTCTGCCCTCTTTTGCAGTGCCTACTCATAACTCCATCTGAATGCGCTTCCTCGCTGCCTTTCTGAATCTAACACTGTTTTCAGGGCCTAGTTTAGGCTCTCCATCTACCAGAAAATCCCCTCAAATAACCCTAAAACATCTCATAATCCCACTCTCTGGCATCTTTTAAACCCAAGTGACCCTGTGCCCCACCCTCACAGCTCCCATGGTCCTAACTGGTCTCTGATCATCTCACACATGGGAGTCCTGTGTTAGGGTAATGACATCCTCCATCCAGGACAATGGTTCTCACTGGAGGCCTATGCCCTTTATCCGAAACAGCAGCATTGTCAGGCAGGGCCTGGGTGTAGACTACAAATGTAACCAGAACATCTAATTCGCTGTCTTTGGGTGACTGGGACTCTGAGGGCCACAGGCTTCAAAGGCAGCCATAAAACATAAGTTTAGTTAGGGGAAACCATGTTTGACCACTCCTTCCTTGCCCACCCTGGATGCAGGGTAGACCTGGGCGACTACACTGCTGGGGTTTATAGGGGACAGGCTGTTGATCAAGCTGGCTCAGACCATGAAGACATGGCTCTCCCCCATCAAAGCAGAAGCCATTCTTCAGCTCTGGCATCCCACAGCCAGTTCAGCACAGGGATCCGCAGCCCTGCGTCATGGGAAGGGCTTCCCCCACGACCTAGGTGATACCAGACTAGACAGATGCCCCTTCCTGCAGCGGGGCAAGTGTTGACAAGCTTGTCCAGCCACCTAGTTGACCCTGTCACCAGTATCCCTCAGGCCCTCACCTCACATCCTGGTTCCTAGGGGAGCTCCACGCAGGGGGCAGCCAGGCGGGCTGGGAGGGCTCCATTGTCTGCCTGCCCCACCCAGCTCATTAGGAACAACATGTTGCTCTAATTACACTTCCCAGGAAAAACAGTGTTTCAAATTAAGGCTTTGGGAGAGGAGAAGGGGGATGGGGGACCACTGGGTTTATTTTCCTGATTGCAAAACACCAAATTTTTCCTTCTAGTGGATGCAGGGGTGCAGGAGAGCACCTCCCGTACATCTGCGGCCTGGGCTTGGAAGGGTGGTTGGGTGACATCTGGTTGGCCTCTGAGCTGGGGTGAACACAGCCACAAAGCATGTAATCCCTTCTACAAAGGCAGCCCTGCCAGAGCAGGAGAGAAGGAAGAACCACATCCCCCAAAATGGTCAGGAACATACACCCCTGGGGGGGGGGGGTCTTCCTGTACATGTGTTCCACATCCCTGGTTAGTGAGGAACCCATGCCCCATGCACACTTCTCCTGCCAACTGTGCATGCGTGTGTGTTCCCACGCGTGTACACATGGGCGCATGCTCACACGTGCATGCACACATTCTCCAGTTCTCAGGAAATCTAAAATTGCAGTTTCTTTGAACTCATTCCCCTTGGCAGCATGGACCGCCTTTGTTCTCCAGACAAAAAGGAAAAGAAATGAGACTAGGAATCAGAACAGGCGGGAGAAGGAGGGAGATGGGCCAGGGAACACACAGAGGGTGAAACGGAAGGGAGGGTGGGAAGAAGCTCAGAAAGAGAGGGAAAGACAAAGACAAACAGGCCAGAGAGCGGGAAAAAGTCCTTCCCTCTGTCTCCTTCCGTGCAAGGGCCCAGGCCTCCCAGATGTCAGCCACTGGCAAAGCCTCCAACCAACCACACTTCAGTCCACTTCCCCACCAAGCACCCTACAGAGGGATGTTCTGGACAGCACAGGGCCTGGGAGAGGGGAAATCTTGCTGTGTACCAAACTGGCCCCAGGCAGTAACATGCCCCAACCCAAGACATTGCTGCCTGGGCCCCCTCTGTCACCCTATGTTCCAAGCCCTGGTTCAAATTCTAGCTCAATGTAACCTCTTCCAGGAAACCAACCCCACTTCCCTACCCCGGGAGCCCTCAGCACAATCATATAGTACTACATCTCCTTCATGGGCATGCTGGCTTCCAAAATGGCACATGTGGGTCTCTGCTTGTGGCTGCACTAGCTGAGAAGTCCTTGGCCCCATCTGTTCCTCTGAGCCACTCTGCAAAGCCACTCTGCAAAGCCACCGTCTCCAAAGCCACCTGATTGGTCTCTTCCCAGGCGCCTGACCCCCAGATCCACATGGGCTGCAGCCAGACAGCTTCCTGATGTGCCCATCCACTCCTCCAGGCTCCCAGACTCCAAGGTTCCCACTGCCAGTGGGAAAGCTAGAGCACTTTTGATAGATACAAGGGAGAGGGCAGAATGGAAGACACAAGGCAGAAGCCTGACCACAGCAAAGGCAGAAAAGCCTGCTGGGGTATCAGGCTGCTCAAGGGACCAGGATTTAGGGAGTGTCAAAATCAAGCAGGTCCTAGGATCTTGGCAAGAAGCTTAACCTTCAAGTGAGGGGGAAGTGGGCTGGGCTGGGGCCCCTGGGAAAAAGGCGGACTCAAAGTCATCTTGTGGGTTTGTTCCTCAGACCAGATGATGCTCCATTCATAACACTGGGCCTCTGACCCTTTGAACCTGCTGGCTCACCTGGGTTCTGGACCCAGCAGACCCCCAGGCTTGCTGTCTTCTGGCCCTGCTGGCCACATGAGGCCTCAGCCTGTTCCCTGGCTGGCCCTGTGAATGTCACTTGACCCTTTTCAAGGTCTGGCCCAAAAGCTATAGTTCTGATTTGCTTTCTGACAACCAGACCACAGCCAGATCCCTGCTCTCAGAATCTGAGCCTTCCTTGTTACATATGACAAATCTAGTTATTAAGGATTTTAACATTTTTAAATAACTCATCCCTGGGCTAGGTCTTCTTCAGAGTAGGCTGTGGGTTTTGGCCTCAGAGTGCTCTCAACCAAGAGTGAGGGCTCCGTGCTGCTTCCCTGGACAGGACTCTGCTTCCCTTTCCAAATCGGCAGTCTTTCGCAACTGCAGCCAGAAGCAGGAGGCTGCCTGTCAGGCCCAATTATGGCCAGCTCACTTGGCGGACCCCACCTCTGTCTGGGTGGGAAAGGAAGTGAGGTAAGGGGCTCGGGGCCTGCAGAGCCCACATCCTGATCCTGTGCTTCAAGACCAAATTGCACTGAAAATGTCAAATGGTTCCGTTCCCAGCCTGGGGATTCCCTGATGGCAGGAAATAGCTGCCTTTTCCCCAAACGCCCCTCTCCCCAGGGCTCTCCTTCCTGTCTGTCTACCCGGGTCTCTGTCCCCACCTCACTCGTGACCATCTGCTCACAGATGCACAGGAGGGTGCAAGGGGACATGCTTCTCACCCGCAAAGGATGTGACCTGTTTCATGTAGATACAACTCCAAATTCTTCAGTTCCTAGGAACCCCCAACCCTCCCATCTCCTAAATTAACCAGACCCTATCCCAATCCATGGCCCTTTGGAACAAAGACATGTTTCCCACTTCCTTCTGAACGTTTCCTTGACTACTGTGGCCCTACTGAGCATGTTCATCTTGAAAACGTGTTGCCAGATACTCAACCAGATACTGTTGTCTGAGTAATTGGGATGAGTCTGCTAGTGCCCCCAAGAGGGCAGCAAGCCTCTGAGGAGAGAATGACTCCAAGACACACCCTAGGCAGCCCTGGATCCACACAGAGCATGTGGAACAAAATCTAGACAGATCTCCATGTGACAGGAGCCCGCTGGGCACCAAGAACCAAAAGGCTATGGGGCACCTGCTTAGAGGCTGGCCTTTCTCTCCCTGTGAATCTCCCCAACCACCCACCCCAGCCACAGTCCACAGCTTAAGTCTAGCTTACCTCTTCCAGGATCCTGGATGTATCCTGCACCTGGAACACAATCATGAGAGGTTGTAATCCAGGAGATGGTAGAGGTAAATGGAGGTAAAAGTTCTCCACTAGTAACCAAGAGCTGTAGGTTGGGCCAGAGACCAGCATACCAGACATTGTCACTAAGAGGGCCCAACAGAAATCTCCCATCAAGGGTAAAGATGACATGCTCCCCAGCCATACTCTCCATGGGATCCCTGGAAAAAGAGGTGTTCTGGACCTGGAGCCAAAGAGACTCATGGGAAAGGCTAAAGCCCAAGCCTGGAGGCCAGACAGGACAGGGGACGAGAGCAGCAGGACCCAGGGGAGAAGCAAAGGTGGGTGGGAAGGGAGTGGCAAAGGAGGCCTTGTGTGGGAAGAACTGTCTAAATCTTGTGTGGGCTGCCTCGTACAGCCAGTGAGCCATCCAAACAGAACCCGACAGCCATAGCTGAGAATGCGCTAGAGTTGTGTGACACATTAAAAAAGCCTGGTACCAGACAAAGGTCTACATTTTCTACCGTGATGTGACCCCCCCAGGAGGAGCAGGGAGAGCAAAAAGAAGATGAAGACCCTGTCCCTAGTACAGAAGAGAATACAGGGTCACATAAGAAGAAAGGGTTGGGCAATTCAGCATAAATCAGAGCTTCTGAAACTCACTGTGCACCAGAAGACCTGGAGGGCTAGTGAAAGCACAGGGTGCTAAGCTGTATCCTCAGAGCTGGTGTCAGGACATCTGACATGGGACCCAAGAACCAGCATTATGAACAATAGCCCAGATCATGTTGGGGATGCTGGTAGGGACCACATTTTCCGAATCATGGGGCTAAGTCTGTGGTTCTTAGCCCCAGCTGCATATTAAAAGGCCCTGGGGAGTGCTGGAACACACCAAGGCCTGGGATGCACCTCAGAAGTTGGTTTTGTTTGGTCTGGGGTGGGGCCTGAGCCTCAGTGAGTTTCAAAGCTGCCCAAAGGGTTCTAATGCACAACCCAGCCAAGAGCCACTGGCTGGATGTTCAAGAGGTATCTGCAATCCAGGAGTCTCAGATCTCTCAAGGAAGAAGGACAGGCAAGACCTGCACTGGACAAGGACACTGTGAGTAAGATGGGAACCCCAGCACCTCCCCCACACTGACCCCAGGCAGGATGGAGACAGGATCTGGTGGTCTCCTTCCTGTCTCAGAGGGGGCTACAAACATAGGGAAACTGGTGATCAGTTTAAAGAAGGAAAGATAACCACAAGACCTACCTCAAAACCAGGAATATGGTGGATGGCCGGCTAGGTGAAAAAAAAGAGGGCTTTTAGTCATGTGTTGTCTCTCAGCACCCAGACACCTTGTTTTGCCATAGCCAGGCAAACACATGAAATTACACCAAGGAATATATCCTGGAACAGGAGGGGAGGATGCAGATTCTGGGAAATGGAGGGGCACAGGTGCAGCTAAGTCAGCAATGTGCTAGGGCCCCACCAGGCACTCGACCCATAGCAGCCTTCCTCCTATCTGTTTCCATATTGGGGCATATATACCAAGAGCAGATTCGGAGGTAGAACTCTATCCTAAGCCTCCTATTTTATAGCAGGGACCTGGCTTTCCAGAATCACACACGTAGGCTGTGGAAGAGCTAGCACTGAACCCAGGATCCTACCCTTTCTTCTTCCTGGAGTTCCCCCTTCACTGCAGGTAGTGCACCCTCTAACAGACCACAGGCCCCTGTGACCATTAATTATGATTGTCAAGTTGAATGGATTAAGGGCACCTAGTAAATTAGTAAAGCATACTTCTGGGTGTTTCTGAGAGGTCCATGGGGACATGAACTCAGGGACTACATCGGGTTCCTACCCCTTTCCTTTCTGGTGCTCTTTACAACCCACTCTCCTTTCAGCTGCCCACGATGAACTGAGCAGCTCTGCCCCACCAGGCCCTTCTGCCATGATATTTCTGCCTGGGATCCAGCCAACCAGGACTGAACCCCTGAAACCATGAGCCAAATAAACCGTTTCCTCTTTTAAATTGTAGGTGTCAGGTATTTTGTCCTAGCAATGGGAAAACTGACCCATACTCCCGCCTCTCAGAAATCATGTCAGTAGTGACTTAGGGAAGAAAACCTCCAGTGGCCAGAGGACTCAAACATTCCAGATTCCAACATTCTACCCAATGATGACTTGGGTTTAGAAAAGATGGGCAAAGTGGGTCTTTCAGCAGGATGCCTGACTTTCAGAAGAGGCCATCCAGGGTCCCAGTGAGCACCAGCCCTGGTAGGAAAGAAGTGTATATAAGCAGCCCCACCTGCCTGTTACCACCCCAATCTTGTAAGCCATGTGTCCCCTGCCTGGGCTTCCTGTGTCTGAACAAGGACAAACCTCACCTTCTCTCTCTGGATGAGTTCAAAAGATGCTAGTAGTTCACCCGTTGGCTGGCTACCCTTCGTCAGTGGGAACCAGGCCAGCCGGGGCATCCGTTCCAGGCTTGGCTGACAGATGCAGCGACCCATAAACTCATCTGCACCCTAGATCAAGCATAGAAGAAGAACAATCAGGACATCTCCAGCCCAGGGCTACAAATGCCCTCTGAGAGATCACCAAGCCTGCATCCCACCTTCTGGACTAGCAAGGGTTTCACAAGTCAGGGCAGCTCCTCCTTGTGCAAAACGGCAACCACCACTCCCTTCCTGAGCAGGATCCAAGCAGTCCCTAGGCATTATGCCAGGTTTGAATTCCCACCATGGTCACGAAGTCCTCCTGTATGTCCAACTTATGTCACCCTGCTTTAATTTAACTCAGCTCTGAACCCATTTGAGATTAGACAAGCAGCTTCCCACCATTTCTCAAATGCTCTCAGCTATATATCTGTTTGATATTCCCAGGGACTTCTGCATTTTCTGACTGTTTATTTCACCCATAAATTTCCCCAGTTTCCAAATGGGAACACTGGGATCATGCTCATCAGATTAAGTGAACATTGCTAAACTGATATTTTCACCAGATAATTCCTTTCCAGAAGAACTTTTCTTGTTTCCTTGCTTGCTGCCCAAATGACAGAGATCAAACTCTCCTCTATCCCTGAAAGCCCTCTCACTGCACACTGCATATCTCTCCTTCCCCTCCTTGACTATACAATGCCTACTCCAGCCCATTAGCCACAGCTGACCTCCCTCCTGCCCTTGCATGGGCGTTTTCCCCCGCTGGTCCTGGCCTCTGCCCTTTTCAGCCACTGTTCGTCCCTCGCAGCCCTAGGGACTATGGGCAGAGTTGGGTCTCAGCCAAATGGTGCTGTGGCCGGCCTTCACAAGTCCTCACACCTTGCCCAGAGCAGGAGCTGGGAAGCAACCTGACTGCAGACACACTGCTGCAAGAGACTACGTCATCCCCAGGAGCCATCCTAGAATGGCCACCAGCTCTTGCATAAAAGCCCACACCAATGTGACAGTCAAGCACCAGTCACCCAGAGTGAAGGCTTCTCTAGACCAGATGTTGCCCCTTCAGCTGGTGGGTCCTGGAGAGGAGGTATGGCTGGCATAGAGCCTGGGCAGGCAGGATAGCAGGAGCTCACCACAATGGTCACTGGCCAACAGGGGCAGACTTCTTGGAATAGATAAACAATGGGCACAACCCCAGATCACCTCAAGGACCCTGGAGCCCACCACTCACCAAAAATAGCCCATGGTTCTTCCCTCCTGGGTCCTTCCCAGGCCCTGGCCTGCTGGGAGTATTGGGTTTGGGCAATATTTTAAGACAAGGAGGTTGGAAGGTTTTGGAAGAGATTTTGTGTTGGCCAACCAGGCAGGTAGCAAAGAGGCCCAGACCTTTGTTGGGACTGGCAGTGGGATAAAAGAGAAAGGAGCACAGTTTGGAAGATATTTCCAGAAAGAGTCGCCATGACTAGGTGCGAGTGGGCTGACTCCACAGAGCTGTGCTGTAGTCTGGGCACCTCCTTCACCACCCTGCCCCTGCCCCTTCTGTTCAGTCCCCTTCCTAGCCCCTACCAAGCCTCTCATCTTCCCCCTCCTCTTGCCCCCAAAGATGCCAGGCCCTGAACTTTTCTTGGTATGGTCCCAACTAGACTCCCTCAGTCCCCTGTAGCCCCAGTTTTCCCCTCCAAGGGCTCCCAGGTTGAGCTCCCCAGCTCAGATGACCTATGTTACCTACTGCCAGCTGGTGCTTCGCTCTCACGAGCCCTCTTACCCTGCCCAGAACAGTATTGCCTTCTCCTAGCCCCTGGTCACCACATCCTCCAGACAACTGGCAGCCAATTGTAGCAACTCTTACTTCCAAACCCTGCCCCTCCCTCTCATACCACAGCCACCCCCTACCCCAGCCAAGCTTCTCTGCTATATGCCCAGTTGTCTCTTGTGGTAGCATCCAACTGCCTCTTCTTGAAATGTTGCTCTGATCCTGTCACTCCCTGTTCTCCTGGCCTCATAGTCCTTTCTCTTGCCAGTCTGCCCACCCCTTGCCTCACAGCCTCCCCATCACCCCCACACTGTGCTAGAATGCCCCTCTGCCTCCATCTGTCTTCCCTAATACTACAATCCAACATCTCCTTCCAGGCCTTTGACTTCCTCACAGCCTTCCCTAACATTCCAGCCCAATGCCATCTCTCCCTCCTGGGAAACTTCTAGAGCTGTACTATTCAATACTGCAGTACTAACCACCTGCAGCTATTTAAATTCCCATGTTAATTCCTTAAATCTCAACGAAATGTAAAACTCAACTTCTCAATTTGTACTAGCCAATTTCAAGTGTTCCAGGGCCACATGCAGTTGGTGGTTCCATCTTAGACAACAAAGCTGTAGAGTATCTCCATCACTGCAGGAAGTTCTGTTGGACAACTTTGTTAGGAGGCCCTGCCTGTGCCACAGAGCTATGTCATACTCAGGGACATACTGTTTCATGTAGTGGATCCTCTACTCTGCCTCAGCTCCTACCTAGATGGTGGAACCCCAAGCAAGGGCCATTCAGCCTAGTAAAACAAGTGTTTGATAAATGTTTGCAGAATCCACACAGCACTTGAAGGGGAGAAGGAGTCAGCCTGGGAACAGTGAAGCAAAATAAGAGACAGAGAAAACAAGGGCTCCTGACCTGCAGCCAAACATTCTTTCCAGATATGTCCCCTGTCTCTGCATTAGCAGTGTCTACCATGGAGCACAGCACAGGTACTAGCAATTCACTTTTAATTCCTTTAAAATATTTTTAAAGCTTACTCTAAAACCTAAGGATCAGGTGAGAGGCTACCACTCCCAGCCTTGGGGAGTACCCAGCTGAGGGGGGAATCAGAGTCTATGAAGACTCAGCACTCACAGAACGTCCCTCCCTGGAGCCCTGCAGTGGGTGGCAGTGAGGGGCGAAGGAACAGTGGGCACACTCACATAGGTGTCATGGTCGTAAAGCTCTACCACGATGCTGGGTGGCTGCTCGGCAATACTGGCTGGCTCACCAAAGATCTCGATCTCATAGAAGATGAGGGTCTGGTCCCAGGTCGGATTTAGAGTGTTCTTCACCACCACAGTCTTCTGGCTCTGGTGCAGGAAGGAGACTATCGCGTAGGGATCTGTGTGGACCAGGCAGGGAAGGGATACAGGGCATAACAGGGACCATGAGAGTTCCCTTCTCAGGAGCTACACGGGCCACAAAGCTGAAGGAGGGCTATGGCTGCCACTGTGGAGCAACACCACTCAGGCCAGAACCCATTTTATCCAGGAGACGCTCCTAGTCCCATCATGTGGCCAGCTGGTCAGAGCCCAGGTACACACGTGATCACCAAACCCAGAGAACATCCCTTTCTGCACTGCTTCCTGGGCTGGCCTTGTGAGGCAAGGTCCAGCTGGAGGAAGTAAGTGCCTGTACAGTCAATTTATTCATTCATTCACCAACAAGCATTTATTAAATGCCTTCTGAATGCTAGGCTGGGGGCTAGGTGTTGAGGGCTGAGAACACAATTTGAGCAAAATGTAAAATATGCACACAAATATAAAATCATAGTTTCAATCAGAGCCTTAAACAACAGATGCAAAGTGCCATGAAGAGTGTTAGGGAAGGAGCTGGCTTCCTTGAAGAAAGGAGAACAAAGCAGAGATTCTGGGCTCTGTGCTCTCTACAGTACCATCAGAATGACATGACCAGGTCTTTGTTTCAGCAAGCTCATCCTAGCTGATGCATAGAGAACAGCCTGGAAAGGGCAGAAAGGGGTGTGGGAAGACCAGTTATGAGGCAATGGTCCAGGCTGGGATGGTGCTGGCTTAGCTGGGCCTGGCCTCAAGAGCTGCACAGCAGTGGGAGGCATGAGCTTTATCTGCCCCTAAACTCCTTTACAGCCTGCCAGCCACACTGGCCTGAGACCTACCCACAAGTCATTATTTCTGCCTAGTCTCATAAGCAAGTTAGTGTCACTGGAGCCAATTCTAAAGCAATGTTCTCAAAACTGAGTGTGCAGCAGAATCACCTGGAAGGCATACACAGATTGCTGATCCCACCCCACACATTTCCATACAATAGATCCCAAGTGGGGACCTCGCATTTCTAACAAGTTCCTGGAAGATATTGATGTGCCCTTCAGGACCGCACTTCAGAAACCAATGCAGAAGACCCTATGGGACTGGATGTGCATCATTTGGAGAAGAGCAGAGGGCTTGGAGGAGGGGGCTCCTTTACCTTCTCCCAATGGGAAAAGCTTGGAGGCAGTGCCCTGCACACTCACAGCCCACAAGCCAGCTTTAGCACTGCCACTAGCTCCTTGTGTGACCTCAAGAGGGCCCCAGTGCCCTTAGAAGCAATGGCTTCTGCTTTAAAGGGCTCAGAAGAGTGCAGGAATATTCAAATACAACCTTCGGGCTGGGATGGGGAGACAGCACCTCCCAAAAAGCAAAGAAGAGTAAGACAGGCTACCTGGCCACAAATAGACCCAGGAACCACTGCACAGGAGGTGACAGAGAAAGGGGTTGGCAGAGAGTAATTGTAAGAGAGGTGGGAAGAGAAAATGGGCAATGGCAAGATTCCCATGAAGGGATGGAAACAGCAGGGTCTAAGTGTAAAACTGAGGGCATCTAAACTAATGGACAGAAGCCATGGGTACCCACTGGCTGACCAATGTTGTTTTAGGCTAATGGGAAATACCCACCAGCCTGGGACCAGCCTATTGGCTCAGGCACAAAAACATAGTACAGCCAATCATGGAGGGCTTCCTGCAGGAAATTGGTTTTGGCTCTGATTCTGGGGGTAGAAGAAGGCAATGGGAGGCCCTTGGCAGAGGAAAGGAAGAAGAGAAATGTCACCATGTCTTGCCACCCCCACCTGGGGAGAGCCTCCCTGGCACAGGGCTCCCCCTTCCATGCACCATCCCCGGCAGGGCTGGCCCTGAGCCCTTTGCCTTCTGCCCCTGGCAGGACCCGGTGGCGTCTGTGCATTTAATGAAACCGTCTGGCTGTGATACCATCAGCTCCAAACTCAGCAGAGAACCTCTCCCAGTTCCAGTAAGGAAAGGAGGGTGCGTTCCGATAAATAAAACCATATTAGAGAGCCGGCAAAAAAGCCCCTTTTGTTCCCGCCCCCCGTGCTTCCCAATGCTTTATTTTTATAAGCGTGCGGGCCCCAGACCAACCGCGTTTACACAAAGATCACAATTGCACATTGTAGCGGCTGCGCACGCTGTATTGGTGTTGGCAGCACCCCCCCACACACTGGCCCCCTGAGCAGGCCAACTCTTTCCAGCAACCCCATCAGCTCAGGCAATGAGCTCAGCGCTGGAGGTGGGGCAGGGGGACGGCAGGGAGAGGGTGGCTTTCAAACAAAACTCACCCAGATCCACTCACGTGCCCCACCCGCCCATGGGAGGAAAAAACACAACAAAGGCATTGTAAAGGGCAGGCCTGGAGGCCTGGGGCCTCAGACACTGGGCTACTGTGTGCTGGGGCCTGGACTCTCCCCCAACAGGGGCCGGCCCCTCCTCCCCCAAAAACACAGGGAGGGGGCAATGTTGTTATGGCAAGGTAGTCAGATGCACGCACAGACACCTTCTTGCAGGGAAGCCATGAGGAGGAAGCAGCGGCTTCCTAAAGAGAGGCGGAGGGGAAGATGGGCTGGTGTCCATATCCATTCCCACCTAGGGCTCTCCAAGGCCCACACTCCCCCACCCTGGAGTGTTTGAATGGGAGGTCTCTGAGGACCACAAGCTGCCCTGGGAAGGATCCAGCCATGAGTACACAGGATTCCACCAGACTCCCTGCCCACAAGACAGCCAGGGACCAGTCACCAAGCCCCAGGCTGTGATTAACTGGCTGAACCCAGACCCCTGCAGGGTGCTGTCTGGCCCCAGCCCTGCTACTCAGACCCTCCTGGATCTCCAGGGATGACTTCTGTATTCAATAAGCTAAGTTTTTCTCATGGTCCTTCCCACCAACCAGCCTAGACCACCAGTGTGGGGACAAGGCAGGTGATGTCACTACATTTGTCAGAAGAGGGAGTTTTGTCCCAGGAAGGTGAAGTCATTAACCCACAATCACAGGTGGCCAAGACTAGCCCCCTGCCTCCTAGTCCAGTACTCCTTACATGCCCCATTCGTAGAAAGGAAGGGGGAGTAGATCGCCAGCAATCAAGGTTATGCAAATTCAAACTATCCTATAGCAATATTTTTCCATAAAATTAAGAAAAATTGTTTAAAATTATCAAACACTGTTGGCAAATAGTTGATGAAATAAGTGTTCTTTTTTATTGCTGGAAGCAATTCAGCAACCCTTCAGAAAAGCCATTGGGCAATATGCCCTGAAAAACATCAAACTGTCTATACCCTTTTTCCCATATTCCTGGGACTCATCCAAATTAACCAAAAGGTATGTACAAAAATGTTCACTCTAACATTATATGTAATACATCATTCATTCAATATACAAGTATTAATTGCCTACCATGTGGTTGTTAGCACATTTCTAGACACAATCCAAGTTACTGATATGACTGCTGATTGGAAATGGTATCTAAACACTTAGAATGCAGGGGCAAGGTGTTAGGCAACTTAATAGTGGAACATACAGGTGGAGGGTGCCCAGTGTAGCCTGGTGACATCAAGTCAGGCTTCCCAAAGGACATCTCCTACCCTGAGTCTCAAGAGTAAGGAGGTAACCAACACAGACCACAGAAAAAGGAAACTTCCAGGCATACAGCCTAAGACAGGCAAAAACAGCACAGAGGGTGGACACTTGGGTGAGAGAAAGAAGGGAGCACCCAGAGCAGGAAGATGGGGTGGGGGTGGGGGAATAGCAAACACTGCTGGACTCAGGCTAAGCAATTTGGACTGAATCTAGTCAGCTGGTGGTTCCCAGTTCTCCAGAGAGCTCAGAAGTATTTCAACGGGTTAAACAGCCTCTGTCAGCCTCCTATGCCACCATGCATTGTAAATCTGTAAGCCGTCTGCTGGTCCCTCTCACTCAGAAACCTTTTTTAAGTAGAGCATTTTACAAGTCTCTGGAGCATTTTGGAAAATACCTCCTTCGGCTCATTGGGTGAATTGTCCCAGCCACAGCCAACCTGAGCAAAAAGCCATGCTTGGGAGTTGGGGGAGATAACCAGAAGCCAGACATGAGAAGCCCAAAAGCAAGAATTCCCCAGCACCACCCAATAACAGAGTCTATATCTGGGGGGGAACTAAAGGTCACCAAGAAGTGGCCCCAGCCATAGGGCAGCCATGGTTCATTAGACTTCACTGTGGCCTGGCCTGGCAAGAACACCTCTCAGGACCTTTAGACTGGCACACAGGTTTGACCTCTCAAGAGCCAGGGGCCCACAAAGGGGGAACAGGACCTTCTGCTTTCTCAACAGATTCCCCAGCCCATAACTTAATAAATATCATGGCATCTGGTCTCCTAGCCATCTCTCACTGGCCTGATAAGCCCCATGAACCCACTGACCTGTGAGACCCTTGAAGAGGTATTTCTGGGTTCCTCCATCTAAGGGCCATCCCCTGTCATGTGGGGACATCACAAGAGGGCTTCCTAGTGTCCCCATCTGTCAGAAGGTACCATTTCTGCTAGCAGAGCTATGGCTCCATCCATCCCAACAGTGGTTCTCAGCAAGAAAAGCAGACCACTTCCCTTGAAAATTACTCAAGGGAATAATTTTCCCTTGACTCCCCTTGGACATTCCCTGGACTCTCCTTGAAAATTATCAATCTATATTGAAGAGCAACCCAGCTTAGACATGTTTAGGGAAGCAATGCTGCTCAGTCCAGAATTCTAGGGTGGGCAGGACAGAACTAGGTAAAGTGTAGATGGTATGTGATTTCTAATCTTCTCTAGTCACAGCTTTCAGTCCAAAGCAAAGCCAGTAGATGCAACAGATGCTCTCAAGATATTGCTAGACAGTGGCAAGTCCACCCCAAGGCAAAGAAAAGTCATCAGAATGAGCAGTATCTCACATTACGTGCCCAATCGCTGTGCAGGACATGTATTCATAAATAACAACCTTATGCCACAGACACCCTGCCATGAGTCCAGAGACTCCATACTGGCCACAGGCCCAAAACCCACTGAAGGCTCAATCCTCAGGTCACCTGGATGGCAATGTCTCCACAAGAGCCTCCTTCTCCCATATTCAGTATTGCTCAACAAGTGTCTCCCAGGCATCTCCTGCATATCCCCCTCAGCTCCTTAGCCAAGGAGAAAGAGCAGATGCAGACTCAACCTCCACACAGCCCCAAAGCCCACCACATAGAAACAAGCAGGCCCCACGAGGGCACAAAAACCCAGGAAAGGACCAGAGCACCACGGTTGATCTCAGGAGTGCATTCCCAGAGGGTTCCACTGCCCCAGACACTAACAGGCAGCTGGAAGCTACTCCCAGTGGCAGACAGTGCTAGACCCTCCCCTGGCCCCAGACATTCTGGATTCACACATGAGTTTCCTCAGAGAAATGCCAGCCGGTGGCCGTGCACAGTCTCAGGCCGCCAGCCACCCCAGGGTCAGTTCCAGGGGAGAAATTGCTTTGGTTTAGGGTTTGGGAGTGAAAATAAACACTCTGAGTTTTATAGGTTCCCCCATGTTGGCTGCTGTTTTCCTTTCCAGCAGCTGCTCAATCGGGCCTTTCATTCAGAAGCCAGTGGCCTCTGAGGAAGCCCTGGGCAGTGCCCTCAAAGCTCCAGGGATGTTTATCTGGGGGAGGGGCTGTGGCCAGAATGGAAAGTGTGACTTCTCCACAAGCCAGTGCCAGGCTGACCCGGGTACTGCAGTCCCCAGACTGAGCATCGGCTCCCCACCCTGGTTCCGAGGAGAGAACTTCCCACTCCACAGGTCCTCAGCTAACCAGGCATGTAAGGGACAAGGGACTTTCCCCTGGGCCCCACCTGGCTACCCATCCTTGCCCCTCATGGCTCCTCTGGAAGAGAAAGGAAGCAGGGCTGTGAATTAGTGCATTTCTTTTTCTCAGGGTAAGTTCCATTGGTCAGAAGCCTGGACACATGTCCCAGAGTGTCTGGATGCATGGGGTGGAAGGCCAGTCACCAAGAAGCAAGAAACTGCTGGTAGGGAATGGTGCTGGTAGGGAGAAGGGAAAAGACTGGCCCCCATGGGGGAGGAGAGTGGCACAGGAAGGACAAAGGCACACAGCTGTAAGCTGCAGAGGAGTCTGTGACCAGGAGGTCACTGAAATGGAATTCGATCCTACTCAGCCAAGGAGCAGGCGTTCAGTGGGAGGTGGCCTTGGCTTCAGTTCTCAGTTCTGTCACTTGACAGCTATTTCAACTCAAGCAATTTAGTGAAACTCTCTTGAGTCTCCATTTCTTCACCTGTCAAATAGAGGTCCAACGCCTACCTCATGGGGTGCTGTAAGGGTCACATTAAATACTGTCAGTATGGTGCCTGGGCACACAATGAGTACTCAGCAAGAGTTCATTCTTGAGATACCCAGTGCTGTGGGCTCAGAGGGAAGACAAAGGCCCTTCCCGGGGAGCTCACAGTCCAAGCGGGAAGACTCTGGCAGAGAGACTACAGCTGGTCTCTGCATTGGGTAAGGGCTCTGAGAGAAGGGCCAGCCAAGCACTGAGGAAAGTGCAACCAGCTCACTTAGGGGAAGAATCAGAGGGCATCTCTGCTGGGATGAAGAATGACTTGGAGTTCACTGAGTTAAAATTACGGAGGGAATGCATTCTAGGCAAAGAAGACACTGAGTAAAGGACCAGCACACAGAAGAAGCTGGCAAACATGGGAAAGCTGGTGGGGCTGGAGTAGTGGGCAGAGGAGACTGAGCACAAGTGGAAACAGGTGAAGTCCACAGGAGCCATATCTCAAAGACTCATCTGCTAGGCTGAGAAGTGGGGAGCCATCTGCCAAAGTGTCCCTCTGAAATCAGGAGAGCGATGTGCCAGGTATGTTTAGGGCACTGTGGAAGGATGCAGGGAGGCCAGGAGACCCACAACATGTCCTGATAAGAAGGGGTAAGGCTGGTGTGATATGACAGCATGATGCTGAAGAAGAAGGAACAGATCTGAGAGATTTAGAGATGGAATCCACAGGACTGTGAGACGGATGCTCAGCAGCCTGCGTAACGGGCAGCCTGGGTAAGGAGCCCCAGAGCCAAGGCAGGAAATGCACAGGAGCCTGGATCTGGATGGGGCAGGACCTCAGGGAGTTCAGTTTGGACAGGATGAACTGCACAAGTTAATCATGGTCTATACAATGCAGGCTAGACAGGAGAAGAGGGCCCAGGAGAGAGTGGCAGCCTGAAAGCCAAGGCAAGAGGGGCTTTCTCCTCTGGGAGACAGGGATGGCAGAACAAGTCAAACCCTGCAGAGGCATCAAGCAGGCCAAGGAGGCACAGAACCCTGGCAACAGCATCCACCAAACAATAGCACCGACCCAGCAAGCAAATAAAACAGCACCCACCCATGAGGAGATACCTGAGGCCACATTCCCTAATGCCCACAGGCCCAACATCTCCACTGTCAGTGCCATGATCTCTGGCATTCCTCCCTCTCTCACACCTACCAGAAAAAGAGTCCTTGTCCATCGAAGGCAGGTCCCGGGCCTGGTACATGTAGCAACGGAGATGATAGCGGTTCCCATCTTCAACGAGGAGGAAGCAGAGATGCCAGGGTAAGGGCTGGGGCTGGCTAAGAGCTGGGGCTCAAGGGAAGGATGGGGTCTGCCCCTGGAAAGGGCTGCAGACAGAGGGGCTGAAGGATGGAAATGACACAGGCCACATTGCAAAAGGGAGCCTCTCAAAGTCAGAAGGACAAACCAGAGGTCAAAGACAGAGAGCTGAATGCTACGTCTTTGGGCCAGGCCAGAGGTAGAGGAGAGGACAGGGAAAGAGAGGAAGAGAAGCCAAGTAGGTGACAAGGGCAAGGGCACAACGCACAGGACCTTGCATGCCCAATCTCAAACCGGAGTTGATGCACACATCACACTCACAGATGCGCACCTGCACACACCAAAAGACAAACCCACCATAAGAGTGCACACATGCAATTATCTGGAGCCCTGACACAGGCTCCTGACCACGTAACCCCATACAAACAGAAGTGTAAGGTTACACACCCATATCACCCCTGTAGATACCTCAGAGCAGCACTTACAGTCAAAGATGCAGGAGATCGTGGGTCTGTTCACGCCAAAGCTCAAGGTGGAGACAGACATGGAATCTTCACTCCTGTCATCCACCACACCACCCTGGAGACACAAAGCATGGCAGATTCTGGGGGATTTGGGGAGACTGGCCCAGAGAGTTAGGTCTCTGGGCCAGGAGACCCCTAGACAACACTCCTCAGCTGCTCAAAGCAGGGCTACTGGCCTCTGATTTCACTTTGAAGGAAATCCTACAGTATAACTAGATCCTAATACCAAAGCACCACAGGACTGTGGGAAACTCTTCTGCCACTGTACTGAAGACCAGACACTCCAGAGAGGAATTCTGACTTGTTCCAGCCAAAATGGTTCGAGTTTGATAGAAGAGAGAACTCTAAGGACTGCTCCAGGGCAGAATCAAATGGGGATTTGCTCATTAGAGGTGAGTCCAGCAGCACCAGAATCCAGAGGTTCCAGGCCAGCATCTCCGGGCCCCCACCTCTGTCCACTCCCTGTGCACTCAGAGACAGTGCCAGTGCCAGGGATATCTAGGCACCGAGCCAGGTCTCAAGTGCCAAGAGAAACTGCACTGCATATCCGCCCTCTGTTACCAGTTCTTCCGGCCGGGCAGCCTTGACTTTCACCCTGGAGAGCCATTTGCCAGAGATCTCAACTTCTCCCCATGGCGCTGGAATTGCAAGGTGCCCCCAAATAATAAGGCACTTGTGCCTCCAAATACAATACCCCACTGCCGCTTCTGTATCCCTTCCTTGAAAACTATGCCCACCCTGGCCTAGCCCCAGACACTCCTACATGCCTGTCCTCCCACTCCTAACCACCTACCCCATGAAGAACCAGCTGCGTGACTCAGTGTCTACCTGGCTCCCTGCCTCAATCCTCCAAGGCTCTCACAGAAGGTCAAGTTGCACCCTACAACCTGCCTCATTTTCCCCACCTGACTCTGAGGCTTGATTCCCCCAAACCATCCCTCAATTCAGGCAGGTCATGTTCCTCAGAGTGCCCTAGACTCACACCTACTGCCACTGCACTGCGTGCAACCCCTGGCCAGAGAGCCATCAATCCTGCAGCCTTCCCCTCAGGACACCTTGGGACATCTAGGTAAAGCCTGCCTTGGTCACTTGAGGGAACAGAAAATGCCATCCTAAAAGAAGGGGGTCATCCTCTGCTCCACCCTGCAAAGGGCCCGTGGGACACACACAGGAAAGACAAGTTTCTTTACTCTCCCGGGGGACTCACAAGATCCTGCTGAAAGAGGGTAGGCCTGGCTCCCACTACAGGACAGCCCCCTTTCCTACCCTTACTCTTAATCTGGCCACAATTTCAACATAGCTCTAAAACCAGATCACTTGGGCTACAATTATAGCCCTTCCATTAACTGGCTGTGTGGCTTTAGACAAGTTGCTTGACTTCTCTCCATCAATCTCATTGTAAATTTGAGATCACTGTACAGTACCTACCTCAGAGAGTTGTTTTGATTGTTACAGAAGACAGAAAAGTATAGTTCTCCAAACACTTCCTGACACATAGTAAATGCTCAATAAATGTTAGCTAGTAATGATCTTCGAGAAATAAGGCACAAGCCTTATAGGAGAGGAATATCATAAACTAGGCAGTTTGTAGTTGTCCTGGAGGGTGCTACTCATATATACCATTTTGTTCACAATTATTTCAGGAAGCTGGAAAATGAATGTTTCAGTAAGGAGCCAAAAACAAGGCAGAAACCAAAATCAATCAGGCAAGTGCCTCCCCGGTGCTTCCAGCAGCAGTGGTGTCTTGTGGGTCTGGGTCTCTCTCTCTCTCTCTCTCTCTCTCTCTCTCTCTCTCTCTCTCAAACACACACACACACATCCCACATGGAGGCATGTCATACTATAGACCGGGAAAGACCTAAAGGCCACAGTGCTTGAAATCCTCTCTCCCTGGCAGCTGTAGATCCCAGGAGTCCTGAGTTCCTGCCTGGAGAGGCATTTGGTCAGACCATTGCTACACTGGGATCCTGCCAGGGTGAGCATCAAGTCCAGCTAATGGCCACAGAGCACCCCTCCCAGCTGCAGGATCTGCAACTCTTCGAGGCCAAACACAGGCCCAGAGCTGGGGTCCCAGCAAGCTGTCTAGGTGTGAGATGTATGAACACCAAGAAAGGCAGGTCAGGACGCTGGAAACAAGGCTTGGTCAGGACTTGTTTACAGTGCATCACACACCCGCCTAAGTGGAACCTTCAGCTGTTGGCAGTACAGTATTAGGGTGGGAGTGGGGTAGGGAGTGGGTGCAGGTGATGAGGGTGAAGGCCTCTCAGTCCTCTTCGTCCTGCCCCACACAAGTGCCCCACAGACAGGTAGGTGCTGGGGTGAGCTGAGAGGAAGCTGCCCAGCTTCACGGGCACCATAATTCATCTCTCCCTCAAGGCTGCCTGCAGGGACCTCCCTTCTTGTGGATGACTGCCAGCACACATCCCCACTCACCTCTCACTTCCTCTTCCCCTCCCGTCTCCATCAACACCACTCCGACCACACAGCCTCCATCTGGAGCTCTGGCAGCACTTTCTGGGTCCCTGTCCAAGGGGAGGGCTTTCTGCCTACAATCAGAAGATGTGTCCCCCTGCCTGGGATTGTCACAAGGGCTGGGGCCAGGTACCCCAGGCCTAGCTCAGGGCCTGGTCCACAGCAGCTTTGGCCCTAAGAATGATCACCCTTTGGGGGAGCAACCAGCATTACCTCTGGGAGTGCCCCACACTACCTGGGCTCCTTCATCTGTCCTGCCTCCACAGGAGTCCAGCCATGCAGGTGGACCCGTGGGTCACCCCCACCATCTGCCACCCACATATGGCCCTAATGCCTCCCTCTCCTCCTCGCTCAAAGAGACAGACAGGATTTCTGGGAAGAAGGTTGTCTAGATAGCAGGGCAGACACACCCCAAGAGCCAGGCAGAGGGGCAGCCACCAGCTTAGCCTCTCACAGCAAAGCCCTCGCCCCAGGCTTCCTTGATACTATCTGGGCAGAATTCTACCCACACAGCTGGCTGGCATCTTTATATCCTCTGGGCACTGACCCTCCTGGGGGACCTGGGCTCTCTACACATCCCCATTGGAGCCTGGGTGCAGAGGGGAGTCCGCCCTCCCTCCTGGCCCACTGCAGCATCTGAATTGAGTCATTGGCAGTCCAGATGCTCCCCAAAACCCACAACCCCCACATTCAAACAGCAGGGACACTCTGCAGCCCGGTTCATGACCCCAGTCCTCCTCTTGCATGTCCTTCTCCCTGCCCCAGGATTTCCCTGGCCTTTTCCTCAGACACTCAGTCTTATCTTCAAGGTCATTCTTCAAGGATGAATCAGGCAGCTCTCCCGTGCACACCCACAGTACCCTGATCTTCCCTGTCACTGCAACTGCCAGCTTACTGCGGTGTGAATACCTGTATCTCCTCCCACTGAAAGTGCTGTGAAGTTTCTACCAAGAGCCCAGAATCCAGACATTCACTGAACACTTACTTTATGCATTCAAGCTGGAAATGGAGATTCCTGCTCATGTAGACAATGTCACCTCCTCAGAGAGGCCTTCCCTGACCATCCTATCAAAAATCACACTCTAACACATGCAGCCTCACACATAGCTCACACCCACCCTACTCCCACACACACCCCACAGAAAAGCATTCTCAACCCTCTTCTGTGGCTCTGTTTTCCCTGTGGTACAGATGTTTGATATATTACTCTTTCTGGTCATGGCCCACCTCACTCCCAGAATGTAGGTTCCAAGAGGACTCTACTGTGTCCCCAGCACCTACCACAGTGCCTGGTGCCGAGAGGCCCTCCGGAAATTTTCCCTGCATCAACGAACAAAACCCAAAGTGTGCTCTCCCAACCCACAGGCACCTCTCATCACACCACTGCCCCTCTTCTGGAGGGAAGAGTTTGGGACTATAGAAACTTCCTTAAGGGCTGGACATAGCTTAAGGGGTCCCCAGAGAAACTCATTAGCGCTGAGGTGACAGTGGAGGTGTCCAGTGGAGGTGACAGTGAAAGGTTCAGGGTGGCTACCTAGTTACATTCACCAGTAGAGCTCCATGGGCCTCAATCCAGGACTGCTCTAACAGCTGACTCCCCACAGCCTTCTAAAGACGGGCTATTACAGCTTCCACTCTGGAGCCTGAATACAAGTCCCTCAGAGGCAAAGCAGCCTAACTGCATGACAAAAGAGAGGCCAGTGGATGTAGCATAAAATTCCCGATGGGCAGCCGCACCGCACATGTGAATCTAGGTGATGTATCCATTTCACATCCCCTGAAGCTCCATGAGCAGGATGTCCAGGATGCCTGAGCTCCAGGAAGTGGGAGAGGAAGGGTCCCTTGCCTGAGATAGGGGAAGGGCAGCTGTCATGAGGAGGATACAAGAGCTGTATCTGAGACTTGGTTTCCTCGCTGTAAAGTGGCAACTGTAGTAACACACACCTTGGGCTATTACGGAAAACGCTGGGGTATTAACCTCACTACTACTGGCATTCTGGGCTAGAATATTCCTTGTTGTGGGTTGACCTGTGCACTATAAAGTACTTAGCAGCATCTCTGGCCCCAGCCAACAGACGCCAGTAGCCTCTCCACTGGGTTATGGTTACCAAAAAGGTCTCTGGACATTTCCAAATGTCCCCAGGGAAGGGGATTGTCCCCTGTGGAGAACCACTAGTAAAAACTACATCAAATGACACAGCCACAGCCTTGGCAGGTACGTAGCACTCAGTAAACAGCACTAATGACACCAGCCATTAGTACTCTGCCATCTCTGCAGTGCTGCATCAAACCAAGCCCTCATCCTCACCATCACTTCTTCTCTCTGAGGCTTCTCTACACGTCTCGGATCTAGGGTCTTCTTTCTGTCACAAGGCCTTTGCACAGGCTATCTTCTCCTTTTGACACACCCTCCCGGCTGAGCTAACAGAGCTCTTCCTTCTACAAACTCATCGCTAAGGCTTGGGTACTCCTTGACTGCCCAGCCTGCATCAGCAGCCTCTCCCCAGGTTCCCCCAACTTCTTTCTTGCACCCGTCTTCCATGTACCTAGGTGAGGCATACACAGTCCTTCATCACCCACACC